GCAGGCGCCTCAGGCTCACCTGGGATGGGTGCTCGCCGCCACTTACAGGCTGAGGTAGAGCGAGTGTGGGGGTGGGCGGCAGTGCCCCTCTAGTCACCTGTGGCAGGAGAGGCAGGGTCTGATGCTTTCTGCAGATCACAGTCACAGCAGAAGAAATGAGACAGACGCACGCCACCACAGGGGCTGGGCCTTAGCTTCGGAATGTGACAATTTATTTGGGGAGCAAAAGAGGCTTTTCACCCCCCCTTCCTGGCATTGATACAATATTGAAGAGCAGCAGAACAAAACGTACAAGACGAAGAGTATCGGCACGACCCCCCCCTCCCCTGGACCAGAAACAACCGAATCCAGAACAGAACCAAAACCCACACCCGAAACAAGCCGCCTTCTCCACCTGCAGCCTCCGGGACACGGGCAGGTGGATGGGGACCCTGCCACGCTGGGCGGCACGTCCACCTCTGGTCTCCTGCCAACCCCACTACTTCCTGTCAGTAAGCGCTGGAGGTGAGGTTTAGCCAGCTGGGAGCTGGATGGTTGAACCACAGACAAAGGCAACAACACTTCATTTTTAAAATGAGAAAGAGAAAAAAGACAGCGCCCTCCCCAAATATAGAGCTATATATGTATATTTTATATATATAGAATTCATTCGTGCACAATTCATTAAATGAGCTTTTCAAAAATTAAAAAAATTATAAGATACATTTCTTTAGGCCTTTGTGTTTTTTAAATTAAAACCAACAGCAACAAAAAGTCTCCATTTCCACTCCGGCCAACAGCAGGGCAGGCCCCAGAACTCCCTGTTCCTTCCACCCTGGCCTCTTCCGAAGGGTCCCCCATTAGACCGTCAGCCCCCCTTTGCCTAGCGGAAGCATTGCACACAGTAGGCGCTCACTCACTGTTGGAGTGAGGTGATGACTCCTTCTAGCTTGGAGGGGCCACCCTGCAGGCCTGGGAGGCGGGGTCCTCAGTCCCCACCCAGCCTGTCCCATTGCGGCATTTTGGTGACTGTCAACAAGAGGGGGTCAGGCTGAGGAGACCCTCTCCTGGAGTTTGAGGCCACAATTCTGGGCTTTCTGAATCTAAGAGGAGACGCAGACAGAAAAAACAAAAACCTTTAAACACCTTCCTCTTTTTTCTTTTAAAAGTGATTCCTTAAACCATACAAGCCCCCAAGAGGCCGCCCTGGGCTAGTGCATGGGAGCCCGTGGGGCTGACCAGGCGGGCCTCCACTGTCTGGCGTGGGCCAAGTGCAAAAAAAAAAAAAAAAAAGAAAAAAAAAGGAAACAAAAAAGAAAAACGAAACTAAACAAAACCCCACAAAATCCCAAAGGTGGGAAAGATGATGTGTCCACTTGGGCTGCCACAGAGGCTAGAAAGGCTGGTGGTGGCTCAGGCTCCACCCCGCCTCCCCCTGCTGAGCTTCCCACCCAGGGCTGACCCCGCCCCCAGGACCGGGGCCCAGGGGTAGCCTGCAGCTCTGAGGTGGCCCCAGGGCCCAGCCCTCCCATTTAAAGGGGCTGTAAAAAGGCCAAAGGCCGGAGCAGCTGGGCTCTTCGCCCCAGAGAAGCAGCTCTGCCTTGTGGAGACCCAGTAGCCTTTGTCTTAAAAATGGGGCAGTTCCTCCCACTGTGCCCACCTCACACTGAGTTTGGGGACTTGATGGTTACCTCTTTCCAGAACGGAAGGATGGAACTCATTTTGACTCCGACCCTCTTGCAGGGCGAGAACAAAAATGGGGCTGTGGGAGCGGTGGGTGGCTGGGGTCGTGGGGCCAGCAACCCCAGCCACCACCTGACCCTTAGCAGTGCTTTACGCAGAGGCCTTGCTGCCCAATGCACCCATTTCACAGACGGGCAAATGAGGGTCAGAGAAGGGAACGGATGAGGGGTGGGTCCCAACTTCCCATCTCAAACCAGAGGCACTGGGCCTCCCGTTTCCTACGATGTGTGGACAGGGAGGGGCGGCGGCAGGGGGGAGGCCCGATGGCCCGGCCAATGTTGGACACGGGAGCGGGTCGGCCTGCGGGGGTATTTCACATATAAAAATAAAGCAAACCAGACTGCAACTTCTGCTTGGTAATTAGGCAAACGGAAAAGCAGCAAGGGGGAAGGGCCCACGGGAGGCAGATCCGTGCAAGAGTGTGTGGGGGGCTCCTGGGCCCCTGCTCCAGCCACTCTGGGAGAGGTAAGGAGGGTTCCGCTAGCTCATGGCACCGTGCCCACCAGGGCCGGCAGCGGGGCCGCCCGCCTCAGAGCAGCGTGCGTGTGTGCCTCTGCACGTGCCAAAGCGGGCGGGGCTGCAAGGCCGGGGGTCCGGGGCAGGCATTCCCTTCTGCCCGTGGTCACCCCCAACCCCAGAGGGTCACCACCGGAGAGTCACCCAGAGTCCACAACTCCTGCCTCCCTGAAGCCCGAACCCACTACCTGGCCAGGGAAGCCCAGGGGTGTCATGGTCTTTGGGGTGATGGGGAGGGAGAAGCCTCCCATGGGGTGGCGGTGGTAGGGACCAGATGGCCCAACAAGCTGGCAAAGGAGCGGAGGAGAGCAAGAAACCCAACCGCGCCTACTCACCAGCCTTCCTGGAGGAAGTTACCAATGACCAGCCCTGGCGATGTGGGACCCATGCTGACCCCCACCCCCTCCCCAAACATCGGCTCCGTTTGCTTGGCCCTTCCAGCTTCTGGCTGGTCCCCTGGGAGCCAGCTGTCATCCTTTCCTTTGAGGGAGGACAGGTGTGGAGTCCAGGCCCAGGACAGGAGGGCGCACGCTGCCTCGGCCCACGGGAGGAAGGCGGCGGGCCCCAACCCCGGAGACCGCCAGCTGGGCCTGGGCCTCCGTGCCTGTTCCTCACATTGCCACCTCACCTGTGCAATCACTGCGTTACTAGTTTTTCTTTTAAATATCTCTTTCTCCCCTCCCCCCAAACCCCATAGGAATCCCACAATATTTTTTACTATTTCTTTTTTTTCCTCTTTTTTTGTTTTTTGCAAAACTAAGTCTTTCACTTTCCTGTCATAAAATCACCTCTGAAAACACAACTTCTTTACAAAAAAAGTCACGAATGACACGGACTCTCAGGAAAACACATTTCTATGGTCTCTGGAAACACCTGTAACTGGCACCCAGGTGGTCACTCACCTGGGGTGAGGGGTTGGGGGAAATCACCTCTAAGGACAGAGGAGAAACACCAGCCCTTATTTGGGGGGAAGCCAATTGGCACTTGGACGGCCACAGAGCCAACACAAAGGGCAGGTGCGGAGGGGTCTGGGAGTGCCAGCCCCCCAAACCCTGCAAGGGCCCTTGTTCTACATCCAGGGTGGGAAGGGCCGGGGGCTGGGCTGTAGCCCGGTGGGGCGATTTGTCAGAAAGAGTCTTCCCACATTTAGGATGAAGAAGTTTGTTCCCTCACTGGACTCCCTCTGCTTTCTCCTGCCTCCTGCCATCATGCTTCTGGGCTGAGACCCCGTCCCTCACTGCACATCGCAGGCAGCAATGCTGAGCCTTGAGCAGGGCACGCCACTCGTGCAGAACCTGGGCTGGCAGCGCCCGGGGCTGCCTCCCGAGCTGTCGCGCACCAGGCCCGGCCCGCCTACCTCCGCTCTCCTGAAGAACACCACCCGCTTCAGCCCCCCAATTCGGCCGGCCTGTGCTCCCAGGGCCCAGGCTCCGGCTGGGGCTTTGGTCTCGGCCACTGGCCTGGATGCCTCCGCTCCCTGGCAGCAGAGAGAGGGAAAGCTGCCCAAGGCACCAGAGGCCTCCCGCTGCCTGGAGCAGGCCAGGCTGGGAGAAGCCTCGGCGGCCAGAAGCAAAAGAGAAGGCGCGCAAGAAGCCAGAGACCCTTGAGAACAGCTCCAGCCCCCTTCTTCCCACGCAGAAGGAAGGGGGAAGCTCAGGGCGGGGGTCCTCCTTCTTTGCCTCAGTCCCCACCATGCCATGTGTGCCCATCGAAGGCCTGGCAGTCAGGCTGACCACCCTGAAGGAGAAGGGCATGAGGCGCATACCCCCAGCATGCCCAGGCTAGAAGGACTGGCCTGGCGGCCTCCACAGCAAAACCTTCAGACCCACTCCAGGCCGGGAGGACTGGCCTGGCGGCCTCCACAGGCCCAGCTGATGGCAAGGGAAGGTCCAGGCCTTCGGCAACCCTATTCTGAGGAACCCTAAGGGGTGCCACCTGGAAAGCCAGGACCCAGCGCCCAATGCACATACATAAGGACACACATACAAACACGCCAAGGGGCGGCAGACACACACGCACAGTTGGAAGTTTCCACAGCAGGTTCTTGTAGCACCTTTGGTCGAGAACTGAAGGGGCCTTTAGATGCTGGGAGTCTGTGGCAGGCTGAGCTCCCTGCCAGCTCCCCCCACCTTCCAGGTGGAAATTAGTAAAGAGGTGGGGGGATGGGGCCTAAGAGGGCACTTGGGTCTCTCCCAAAAGTGGGCAGAAGACCCCGCCTCTGGGCATGGCCGCCCTCATTGCTGCAGAGGGAGGGGCGGAGGCTGGCCTCACCCCGCCCTCCGCCGCCCTGCCCTCCTGCTCAGGCACTGGGAGGAAGGGAAGGGACGGAGCCCACGCTGGGAAGGGGTCTCCTCAGGGGCCCCGCGGCTGCTGGGTTAGCACCGAGAAATCAGATGCTGTGCACGAGGGCTGGAAGCAAGCTGGGGAGACAGGGCGGGATGCGGCGGGGGCAGCTGAACCCCAGGTCCTGGGGCTCCCCAGGAGCCACCCAGTGGGCCCCACTGTGCATGGGCAGGGAGGGTGCCAAGTGGCAAGAGGGAGGACTTCCCAGTGCCCTGGTCCCACTCCAGCCCTAACCTGGCCCAGGACTGACCCCCACTGGGCTTCGGAGAGCTCCAACTGCCCCGCCCCATCCCGGGGTCAACACCGAGCTGTTTGAAACAAGCAAAGCACAGGCGGAGGTGTCTGAGGGTGGGGGTGGGAGCAAGAGTGTGACTTTGGGCAGGAGGGCCCCCCCAAGCCCCCTCTTCGATGGAGCCCCCTCACTTGCTCCCCCCACCACTGCCACCCCCACCGGCGGCACCCGCCGCCCCAGCAGCCACCTTCTCGAAATCCTCAGGGTTGCAGAATTCCTTGATAGTGACCGTCAGGAGGTTGCTGGTGACATCGGTGACGACCACGTTGGAGCAGGGTGACATCTCCGGGCGCCAGTCCCCAGCCTCTGGCTCGGAGGGGGCGCCGGCAGGCTCAGGGGCCGCGGGCGGCACCTGGCTGGCGGCGGCCATAGCGTCGGGAGGTGCCCGTTTGCTGGCGGCCGCCGCGTCGGGCGAGATGGACAGGTCGAGCACCTCGGGCTCTCGCCAGTCGGGGCCAGATGGGCTCACGGTCTCGGGGAGCAGCTTGGGGGGCGAGTCGTCGGGGTCGGAGGAGGACTGGGGTGCTGGCGAGGGGCAGCCGGAGGAGCCGGAGCTGCGGGCTTCGTAGGGGGCGGCGGGGGCTGGCAGGAGCAGCCCGGGCGCGGCGGGGGCGGCGACGTCGGCCTTGCTGGCTTGTGAGGGTGGCAGCGGGCCAGGCGCCGGAGGCTTATTGTACAGCGCGAAGGCGCCGAACTTCATGTGGCGGATCTGCGTGCGCAGGATGCTCTCGCTGAACTTCTTGCTCTTGCCGATGACGCGGTTCCGAGAGGGGACTTTGGGGCGGGCAAGGTTTCCAGCCCCCTGCCCAGTACCTCCTCCACCCGTGCCCTTGTCGATGACCTTCAGGTTCAGGATGATGCGGTTCCGCTTCGGCTCCCGAGGCTTGACCTTGCGATTGATGATGCGCACGGTCTCGGAGAAAGGCGAGATGGGCGGGCGCAGGCCAGGGCTGCCCCCTTGGGGGTCCGGGCGGGGCAGGGGGCGGCGGGACATGCGGTGGCAGCGGCGGATGTCTTTCTTGAGCCTGTGCACGGCTGCGCTGGAGTGCAGCTTGGGTGAGGAGGCGCTGGCGCTGGGCTTGACGGAGAAATGCACATCACTGATGCGGAGGGCCTCGGCCTGGGCCCGCGCCTGCGGGGGAGAGGGAGGGGTTGGTGGAGGCCCGGCTCCCCACTGCCCTCTTCTGGGCACCCCTGCACCAGCCACTCACACACATGGTCTCATGAAACCGCCCTGAGAACACCTGGGAGAGTCAGCGCTGCTCATGGCCCATCTTAGAAAAGGAAACCGATTCAGACAGACGAAGCAAGAGCATGAGATTGGAGGGCCCAGCTCCAAGGTCCACACTACCTAGGCAAGCTTGGCGACAGGCCCTGGAGACGCGGGCGGGGCGGGGGGGACAGCTGCCCCTGCTGACACTGGAGTGTCAACAGCCGGGACATTGCACAGGGAAAAGAGCCCGTTGCTCAGAAGCCCGGGCCAGCCCTGCTCTGTGAAGGAGCCCAGCCCAGCCTGGCACTTCTCCACCAGCCAATTCCTGGGGACAGAAAGGAGGGAGCCCCCGCCCTGCTCCACCCCACACCCAGCCCTGATGACCTATTTTGTAGGGTCCCAAACTCTCTGTGGTCTCTCTCTGCCTTTGGACCGGCTGCATCTCCAGCTTCGATTTGCCTTCCAGACCATCGCTGCCTTTGGGACAGACCACTTCACATTCTCTCCACTAAAATGGTGGGGCCAGGACAGCTCGGCAGAGTCCTGTGGGCAGCAGGGTGCTGTCCCAGGCGCCCCAGCCAGCTGCGCGCCCAGGCGTGGAACCCCGAAAGCCCCAAGGCTCTGCAGCATCCCACCTCCCACATCGGGGACACCCGGGGTGTGGCAGAGCCCTCGGACACCCCAGCATAAGGCCGTATCGACTGCCCTCCCAGGTCTACGTATCCTTCGTTCACTATGAAATGACTAACGAGGGCACGCCAGCTGCTTGGAGCTACAACCACGGACACACAGCCTCTACCCAGGGGGCTGTGCTCTTCCGGGAAGACAAGTAACAGGCAGTTAGGAAGCAGGGTGACTCGGTGCAATAGAGGAAGTGTGGGGTCTCAGGGGCACAAACGGGGCCCAGGTCTTAGAGGATGAGGCCGGAGCAGGAGAGGGCCCAGGTCCTCCCAGGGTCCGGCGGTGCCCCAGGTGGCTGCAGAGGCCCAGGCGGCCTGCCGAAGGGGCGCCACTAAGACAAACGGTGGAGGCCGAGAGCCTGGTGCTGAGAGGAAGCCCAGTGGCCAGGGGACCGAATGCAACGGCTGGAGAAAGGGTGGAGGTGGATGACCAATCTGTCCTCTACCGACACTGTGGCACGTGGTGTGGCAGGGGACGCATCGGGGGATGACTGCATCCATCCGGGGGGGGAGATGGTGGGGGCCAAGAAAAGGACACTGTCCCCTAGTCTGTGAGCTCCCTTGGAGTGGGATCTATGGTTTGGGGTCTTTTCACCTTACCCCACAACAGCACTGGGGCGCTTAACCCGCCCCTGGGAGGTAGCCTGTGTGCCCCTCAGACAAGACTAGCTTGAATTTGCCCACAGTCCCCAGAAGGTGTGTTTGCCGGCTTATTTTCTGAGTAAGCAAGGATGACTTCATTTAGAATGTAGGAGAAGAACACTTTAATGTCACATGGCCCTCCCACACACTGAGGGCCCCCAGGGGCTGCTTGATCAACAACCCTTTCAGCCACTAGGTGGCAGCACACAGTGCCCAGACTGCCCCTGCCAGGGCTGCCAGCTCCTCTTGCTCCCCACCAGCACAGCCAGGTACTGGCTCCCTTACACCTCCTCCCAAAGGCAGGAGAGAGCCACAAGACCTTCCTTAGCATGGCAACCAGGGCCTTTAGCTGGGCCAGCCCTGCAGGAGCTTAGGGGATCCCATTCTTGCTGATTCCCCCAGGGATCAGTATTTACTCCTTCTGTACATTGCCTGAGCCCTTGGACCGCTGCAATCATGGTTCTGCCAGAGGTCAGCAGTGAGGGACAGTCCTGGGGATGGGACTAAGAACGTGGACTTGGTGGGCCTCCTGTGCCTCGTTCCCTATCTGTGCAGTCACAGCAGGACCCGCCACAGGGGCTCCTAAGACCATTAGTACCTGCTAAGCACGGTGCCTGGAACGCAGCGAGTACTCAGTAAGTGCTAGATTTGTCCATGGTAGGGGCCGGGGAGAGGGGCTTATGAGCAATAAACTTTCTAACGCATGGTTTCCTAATTTCTATGAAACATTTCTTCCTTTACAAATTTCTAAATACAGAGTGGGGCAAAAGTAGGCTTACAGTTGTGAGTATGCAAAACACAGTTTATTCCTGTATTATTCCTTATTAATTATTGTATTATTTTCCGTATGAACAACTGTAAACCTACTTTTGCCCCACTCTGAACAATTTATTTTTAAAAAAGGGACTGGTTTAACCTTCCTTCTTCTCTCCCCTCTCCTGATTGAAACTTTTTTGAAGATGGGATCTGGGTCTGCCAGCCACAGCCAATGTGTTTACAGTGCTCTGACCAGGTGACAGGCAGGGCTCTACACACAGCAGGGAAGGTCAAAGGTCAAAGAGCATCTACTACTGATGCTCTGTGACTGTGGGTAGATTACTTAACCCCTGGGGCCTCAGTTTCCCCTATGTGTAAGTGGGGACAATGCAACCTACTTCCTGGACTCCTGTTCTCTTCAGAATAGTCCCCAGCATAAAGTGCCACCTGAGGGTAACTGACTTACTGTACACACCGCCTCCCAGTGACTCACAAAGCACTCTGATCGCCACCACCCAATCCTCTCGTCTGCCTCCATGCCCTGGCTCTTCGTGGTTTCCTGTGTGTGTTTGTCCACTTTGCCCCTTGCCCTGAAGGGAACTCTCTGAGGGACAGGGTGAAGAAAAGGACAGGACGAAGCCATAAAGTTGGGCGGTGGGGCCCCAAAAAAGTCAATTCTCCTCTTTAGGACTTGATTTTCTCATTTGCGAAATGGGGATGGTACCCCCTCCCATAGAGTTGTAGAGGAGATTAAAGGAGACAATCCACATGGGGGCTCAGCCCTGTGTTAGGCCCCAGAGCCAGCTTAGGACTAGAAGCATTTAAAAAGGGGGGAAAAAAAAAAGGCATTTCGTGAAATCAACACTCATTGTCATTACTCGCTTCACCGCTAGAGGGTGCTCCAGCAGCACGGAGAGGCTGTCACACTGCCCACCAGTCCTCCAGCTGCTCTGCCTAATCCCTCCAAAGCAGCATCAAGGGTTAAGGCTGCTTCGTGGATCCCCTAAGATGTGTGCAGATGAGGGCCAGGGGTCACAGAAATATGTAATTCTGGAAGCCAACATTTCTTTCACTTCTGCTTTAAGTCCAAATCAAACCCTTACACATACACAGTCCTTGTGGGTGGGGAGACAGGGAGAGGCCCACCTCACTCTCATTGGGCTTCGAGCCTTTGGATAAATCCGTGATTCTGAGCTTCCACATTCTGCACAGTCTCTTCCCTGCAGAGTCCTCACTGTCCTCCCTCTACCAAGGGCCACAAAGTCACAAGTGGTCAGGGTGGGAAGGGGTCCTGAGACAATCTCAGTGCTAAAGAGGAGAGACTGTTGTTGCCCAGGGAGATCTGCCTGCAGCCTTGCCTGCCGCCTCGGCAATCTTGCCTTCCCTTTTCCAGATTCCATTTTTTCTCCAAAAATAAAAACAAAAAATAAAAATAAAACAAACCTCCCCAAAACTAAGATGGCTTCCTCGGGAGCTAGGTGTCCCTCCCTTGCCAAGGCTAATGTGTTATGTGTTCACTCCCCCACTCTCCATCCTCATTACAGCTTCTAGGAACAGCCAGAGGTGGGGGGAAACTGAGGTTCAGAGTCCTGAAGCCAGTGGCCCAGCCTGGGTGATAAACTCAAAGTGAAGTGATTTAGGTTACATTCAAGTGGAATCCCTCTCCAGTAAGAAGGGAAGGCATGCAGAACAAATCCTAAGAGAGAGAAGGAAGCTGGAGGCAGGGAGACAGGTGGTCCCCAAATGCCTCTCCCTGTTCCCTGCCATGAGAGAGACAACGTTCACTCTCCCCCGGGGTTCTAATTCCAGGCAGAGCCCAAGGGGAGATGGCTCACACCTGGGAGAGATGGGGGCTCTCAGGTACAGAAGCGATCTGCCTGCCACCTCTCAGGTGGGCAGCCCCCACCTGCTTCATCCATCTCCTTTCTGGAGCCCTAACAGTCTCCCCAAACCCTGGTTTGTCATTGAAGATTATCCCCCTCCTGGCCTCTGATTCCCAGAACCCTCTTGCAGACGCTGGAGCCGGCCGGGGTCGCTGTCAGGGGCTCTTAACAGGCTCACCACCATGCCCTGCCCAGCTGGGACCCGTCTGGAAAGGCCCGCCCGCCTGGGCAGCCGCCGATCTGTCCCTCCCTAGCAGGCCCCGAGCTGTGCCGGGGCTAGGGGCCCGAGAGGGGGCTGCTGGGGCTGGGCCAGGTTACCTTCAGGAGGAAAGTTTTGGGTTTGGGTCCCCTCTTCTTGGGCCCATACAGCTCCCGCTCCCTCTCCCTGCAGTGGAGAAACGCAAAAGGTTACAAAGAGCCCCTTCCCGGGCCCCACTCGGTGCTGCCCTCCCCGGCTCCCCCGTTTCCCCGCGCGGCGCCCCAGCCGAGCCTCGGCCCCGTCGCCCCTGCCAGCTCCCCAAACTCACTTCTGCTCGAAGGCTGCAATGAGCCTCGAGTCCAGGATGTTCTCCTCGGGTTCCCAAGTGCTGTACCTGCCGAGCCACACACACAGAAAATAAAAATGAAAACCAGAGAGACAGAGGCACATGCGAGCGAGCAAACGTGCCCCCCCCGGAAAAAAAGGCCCGGTGTCCGCTGCCTCCCCTCCCCCCTCGTCCCTGGACTCCGCGACACTCACTTGATGGCCCACCCCTTCCATTTCACCAGGTACTCGATGCGTCCCTGAAAAACAGAGAAGAAAAAAACGAGAGAGTGGGGGTGGGGAGGATGCGGGGGACGCGAGGAGGCGGCGGCGCGGAGGTGGCAAGAGACCCGGGGTTAGCGGGACCGCTTTACTGGGATGGCCTGCGGACCCGGCCAACAGCTGCGGGGCGAGGCATCCCGACCCGGGAGGCGGCTCACCTTTCGGATTCGCCGTTTGATGATGGATTCAGCCGCGAAGACCCGCTCGCCCACTGCAGACAGCTCCATCTTGCTCAGCGGCACCCACAGCCCATAATACTCCCTGCTCCCGCGGCCGGTGCTGCACCGCTCGCGCACGCGCCGCAGCGCACAGGCCCCGACGGGAGGACGCGCGGCGGGGCTCGCGCTCGCGCTCCAGCTGCGGGCCGTCACGTGACCCTTTGAGCGAGCGCGCCGTTGCTAGGACCTCCCTCTCCCCCGGGGCCGTTGCTAGGGAAAGTGAGCGCACGCGGGGCGGGGGCGCGCGCTGGCTCTTAAAGGGGCCTCGCTGGTGGCCGGAGCCGTGGCCCAGAGCCTGGGACAGCGGGGTTGGGGGAGGTGGATTCTGAGCTCGTAGGAAGCCGGGCGTTGCAGTCTTACATTTTCCACTCCCCTCTCCATCTTCCCGGCCCCCGATAGCTGACTTCTCCGTCCTTTTAACCCTACCCATCCCTGCGGCCCAGCAAGTCTCACCAGGCCCCAGGCGGGGAAGGGCGATGGAATCTTTGCAGCCGCTGCGCATCTTTCCAGCAGAAGTTTGCAAACAGTTAAATATGATACAGCAGAAATGCCTGCTTGCCAGGCCCTGCGGGAATTTCTTTAAAACATTGCCACCCCCCATCCATTATTTATGTATTCGTGGGAGTGTGGTTTTGTAACCAGTTCAGATGAATTAAAACAAAAACGCGACCGCAGGAAAGGTGGGGGGTGCAGTGAATAGAGCCCAGGAAGGCCGGTGCATCTGTTCTAGGCCAAGATCTTGGGCGGCACCTGCCTTCACCCGGGAGGCTGGGTGAAGACCGCAGGGAGATCGATGTGGTGATAGGGGAAAGGAAAGGGAGGGCGCGGGGTAAGGATGAACTCCCCATGCTTTACTTTGAGCCCTAAGCGTGTCATCCGTGGGTTATTCGGTAGGAACTGCCCTCACGATCATGTACTGCCTGTTTTCTGATTCCCAGGCCCCTTGGCCACGTCACTCTCCTGCTGCCTGCAGTTTCTTTAATGATTCCGCCATTACTCACGGGGAGACCCGACCCCAGTTTCCTATTTGGGGAGGGCCTGAGAGACCTGGGCGGTCTGGGAAGGGACACAAAGTAGCCCTGTCACGCAAAACGCTCCATTTCTTTTATTTTGAATTATCTAAACTTTATTTTTATTACATCAACAGTCTCGTTCTTTGTAAATTAGAAAAGAGTAAGAAAAGCAACTATCCATACCCTCCATAAAATCATTGTTAACATCTTTACGAAGCTTCTTCTAGCCTTTATATACACATTGTGTACGTGTATATACATACATACATATATGTATGTAACTTCTTAATTTTTAACAAAATAGGGCCATATGATTGACACTGAAATCAGCTTTTCTCCCTCAATGGCACAAAAATAGAGCTCTTTTTGGTGTCATTAAGTACAGATTTCACCATCATTTTGGTGGCTGCGGCGGGGCTGAGATGGAGGTCCAGAGGAATGGGGAAGTGGGGAGGATCCGGGCTGCCTCTTGCTCCCATTAGTTGTTTATCAGACAAGACGATTTTTACATTTCTGTGATGCAATATCAATTCCTGCGGTTTCAGATCAACCATATCAACATTTCCGCTTCTCATTCCTGCCTCCCTGCAGATTTGTCCGATTATTACCTTGGGAGACATTACCCTCCTTGCCTTCCCCCTGCGCTGGGCTCCACCTCCACCCCTCTCCCTGCCCCTGCCCCAGAAAATCAAACAGAAGCAGCTGTTAGCTGGCCAGCCCAGAGTGGGCTTGGGTGTAAGACAGAGCTGCCCTCCTGGGGAGGGGGTGGTGGGAATGAATGGGAGGTGAGCTGTGTAGCTACTATGTGTTTGTTTTCAGGTGCAGGGATACAGGCTGATAAGCATTAATCCATTTGTTAGTTTATTCAGCAGCTTTTGTGAGCTCTTTTTAAGGTTTCCTGTTAAATGATCAGAAACAAAGTTGCCTATGCTTGAGATCCTTTTGGTGGGTTGAAAGACACCTGCCATCTAGGGTATCTAGTACTGGAATAAAGATGTATTAACTTCCTATGGCTCCTGTAACAAATTACCACAAATCCAGTGGCTTAAAACAACACAACTGTGTTCCCTTATAGGTCTGGAGGTCAGAAGTCCAAAATCAGTGTCACTGGGCTGAAGTCAAGATAATCTCTGGGCTGGTTCCTTCCGGAGGCTCTGGAAGAGAAGCCCTTCCTTGCCTCATCCAACTTCTGGAAGCTGCTGACATTCCTTGGCTCAGGGCTGTGTCACTCCCATCTTTACTTTTGCCTTTCCCTGACCAACCTCCTGTTGCGTCTGCTACACGCTGTCTGGTCCGCCCTGACTCCCGGCGGTGACCCTGCGAATGAGTTCTGTCCACCACGTCCTGCCTGCAACAGCTCCTGCGGACTCTTGCCTATAGCTTCTTTTAGGGAGTCAATCATCTACTTTTTGGTCTTCCTCTTTTCCTGCTGCCTTATACCGTTCCAGGCATAACTATCTTTTTCTGAGAACCCTGCCCTCTCATGATGCCCCCAAAGTAGGACAGCTCCAGTTCTGTCATTTTTGCCTCCAGCAATGTTTCAGGCGGAATTTGCTCGACAACCCAGCTGTTCATCTTTCTGGGGGGTCAAGGATATCTGTAGAGCCCTCCTCCGAGACCTCGTTTCAAATGAATCTTTTTTTTTTTTTTCTATCAGCCCTCTTCTCTGTCCAACTCTCACATCTATACATGGTAATTGGGAATACGAGGGTGTGAGTGATCTTAGCCTTGGTCTCTTATGACACATTTCTGCTTTTGATGATCTTTCCTGCTTTTTTCCACCGCTGTCCTTTCAAGTCTCAGCCTTTTCTTGATCTCTTAGATGCAGTTTCCATTTGAATTGATGACTGAACCAAATACCAACCTCCTGCCTCCTTCTAATAAGGCCCCTTGTGATTACAATGGGACCATGGAAGTAATTGAGGGTAATCTCCCCATCTTCATATCCTTTCCTTAATCATATCTGCAAAGTCCCTTTAACTGTAGGGTAACATTTATACAGGGTATGTTAGATATCACATTCATAGTTTCTGGGGTTAGAAAGGGGGCGTCCTGGGGTGGCGACCTTATTCAGCAGACCATAAAAGGAACGTAGAAGATGCCTTGGACATCTAGACGTATTAGTCAGAGTTCTCCAGAGAAACAGAGTCAATAGCGTGTATATAGTGATAGGGAAAAGGAAATTTATTATAGGAATAGGCTCACGTGGTTATGAAGGCCAAGAAGTCAGCCTTCTGCAAACTGGAGACCAAGAAAGCTATTCCTGGGCTTTTGACCTACAGAAACTGAAATAGTACATGAGTGTTGTTTTAAGCCACTAATTTTGTGGTAATTCATTGCAGAGCAATAGCAAACTGATATATAAGGCCATTCCAGAGTCAGTGGTGGGGAAATAAGCTCCACCTCTGGATAGGAGGAATGACAAGGTCACACTGAAAAGGGGACTTGGGGACATTATTGTAATAATATTCCCTAAGTGGGTGCCCAGCTGGGGCAGGGGTCGTGCTCAGAGCTGACGGGATCCTCGGGGTCAGGTGCTCCCTCCATCCGGGCACCTGTAGTGTTCTGGGCATCTGCTGAATAAATGTCTGTTGGACGAAGGAAGGAATAAATGCACTGAAACTTGTGCTGTGTGTGTTGCGGGGAGCGGGGGGAGTTTGGATGAAAAGGATTTGCTTGCACTTGGGGCAAGGAAGGGCTAAGGGATATAGTTCGGAAGTGGCTTTGTCACAGGCTTAGACGTAAGCCCAGTGTGGTTGACAGTTAGGCTGGCTGTCTCTTGAGGCTTTGAGTGGACCGTCCCCTTCCCGATGCCCAAAGGCAGCGCCTTGCTCTCAGAACCACAGGCCACAGGCCTTCCCTGTGCCCACAGTTCGGGGTCCTGGGGGCCTGGAGCGTGGGTTATAACACGGTGGGGGTAGCATCCTACGTGCATTTAGCCCAGCGGTCAAGTCTCTGCCTTTGTCGCCATCATTTGAACAATGTAAAACGATGTTCTGCAGACGCATTCACCACGACATTCCCTGCTGTGACCGTTCAGTGTTTGTCTTTGTTGTGCAATGACTTAGTAAGGACATGCTTAGGGAGTGGGCGAAGCAGGACCGGACCGGGGAGGAGCCACGGGCCTGCGTGCGTGCGGGGCAGACTGCCCCCTCAGGCGCATTCTCCCCGGGGCCGCCTAATCCCGCTGAGAGCTCTCCAGTGCTCAGTCACCGCTCCGCCTTTGCTCCCGCCCGCAGGCGCTGGCCCAAGGCTGCAGGGGGAGGGTGGGCCGGTGCCTCCTTTCTACCTCAGCCTGCAGGGTGGCTTCAGTGCCCCGGGTGGCCTTGGGAAGGGGAGTCGCAGGTAGTGGCTGTTGGGAGGGCAGAGGTGGGGGCAAGCCAAAGGGACCTTGGGGGGATCTGGGCACAGAGCGGCTGGTACTGCCCAGGCCGGACCCACAAGACCATGTGCACGGCCCTGCCTGGCTCTGTGAGCACCTCCCTCGCTTCCATCGTCTCCTCGGCTGACCCCTCTGCCTGGAGAACTCACCTTTTCTCCCGAGGGACATGACTTGTTTCTTTCTTTTTTTAAAAAGATTTTATTTATTTTCTTTTAGAGAGAGGGGAAAGGAGGGAGAAAGAGAGGGAGAGAAACATCCACGTGAAAGAGAAACATCCATCGGCTGCCTCCTGCACAGGCCCTGAACAGGGACTGAGCCCGCAACCCAGTCAGGTGCCCTGACCAGGGATCAAACCAGCGGCATTTCACTCTGCGGGACGACACCCAATCCACTGAGCCACACCAGTCAGGGCATGACTTATTTCCTAACTTCTTTCAATCTGTTCAAATCTCATTTTTTCAGAAAGGTGTCCTCTGATGTCCTTCTCTGAAGTGCCCCTCCCCACTTCTGCCCGTCACCCCGTTCCCTTAGCCATCTCATTGTGTCTTCCCAGCCCTTAACGCTACCTGGCGTCCTCCTAGCCACTGAGGCAGTGCCTTGCTAGACTCCCCGCTCCACGGGGCAGGGGTAGCCTGTCCATCGGGCTCTCTTCGTCTCTAGTGCTGGCTCAGGCCCCTGAACATAGGAAGCG